TACGTAAAAAATAATCTTAAATGTATCATAATTTACATAAATTTTAGATTAATTTGTCAAAAAATTTTATTAAAATTTACAAATTTAATACACTTTTCCTTAATTTTCTGTTGGATTTATCCTATTTTTTCTGTAAATAAACAGCAATAAATTTATTGTAAAGAAAGTAAATTAAATTAAATTATTATTACTTATTTAAATAAAGAATTTCACGAAAGAAATTCTGTATAAAATGCATTTTTATTCGTAAATATTTTCGTTAGTAACTAACAGCTAAAGGGGAGAGTCTGGAGTGAGATTGTGATGACTACAAAAATCTATAGTGTAGACCGCAACTAGCCTAAAGGGCAATAACCAGAGCAGCTCATCTCTATACTTTTGCTAGTTTTATAGCCATTTTACTATTTTAAAACTAAAATAATGTTTAAAAAAAGACAAAAAAAGTGTATTAATTGTCTTGGTTTTCTAATCTAATAATTACATTAAAAAGTGTATAAATTATTTAATTAATTTTATAATAAAATAAATTGTTAGAAGTAATTTTTTTAAATGTAAAAATCTTTTTCTAAATGATAATTTGAGCTTTATAAACAGACTAAACTTATAATAGTACTATTTTCTAGTAATGTATTCAAAATTTTACATTATTTAAAAGATAAATGTTTTATAATTAATAACATTTATTTTAAAAATCTTAAAAATATATATATATTTTTTAAATTAGCTTAAACCATTATTTATTGTGATGGTGTTGAGATTAAAAATAAGTTATCTTAAAATGGAAAATATTTTTGCTAAAAATAATATTTAAATGTCAAATTAGTAAGAAATTTAACTTAATATATTAAAATTATAAAAATTAAGAGTGTACTTTTATAAAGATTATCCTAAATCATTAAGGATAAGAAGGATGAGTTCGTTCAAGGATAAGAAAATATTCTTTTAAAAATGAATTTTCTGATACTATTCATATAAAAATTAATGTTTATTTTATGTTTAAAATGTAAATTTTATAATTTAAAATCAAGTTATTTAATATTATAACCGTATAAAATATTGAGGACCAAGCAAAATACAGCATCATCAACCAGAAATATAGCTTATCAACTAATCGATCATAAGATATTAAATTAAAGCATAATTTAAAGAAAATTTACTTAAAAATACATTTAAAACTTAATTATTTATCAAATTAAGCTTTTAAATTTCGAACAGAGCTTAAAAATATATATATATATTTATGTATAACATAAACACAAAACTTAAGTGGTCGGCCGCGATCTACTTGTTGATAAACTAATACATATCTACAAATTTGTGCAATATAAACTATTATATTATAAAATTTTTAAAATTATTAATTAATAGATATAGTTTAATAATTAATTATATAATTTTTAAGATTGTTATAAGTATTATAGAACAAAATTACACGTTTTTTTAACGTCTAGGTAACCTTTTTTTTAATTTCATTTTTTTAAAAATTTAATTCTGATATTTACAGTTTAATTAACATTTTAAAATCACCTCAGATTTATTTAGGCCCTTTAATGAGAAACTCATTTAATAGGTATCCTCATTAAAGAGCTTAAATAAATTTGTAATGAAAGCTTATCTTTAACAATATCCTGTCGTTTATTAACATGTGAATGAAATTTTCTTTTACTTTAAGTGTATTATTAAACAATTTAATTTAGTTTAAAATTAAGAAATTATATACTAAAATTATAATTATATATATAGGAATAATATATAGGAAATATATAATTATATATATAGGAATAATAATTATAATTTTCAAATATCTGCGATAGATAATCTATTGCAGGATCTATTGATTTGTTGATGGTGGATTCATACAGTATCCCATTATTCTATCGGATAATTACTAATTTCCTTAAATAATTAATTATTTTTAAGGTAATATAATTCAAAAATCATCAGATTTTATTGTAAAATATCAAAAATGCGCTTACAATTCCGTTTAAAGCTGATATCAGGGATTAAAAGTTGATATCAGGATTAAGTTTTTAGATTCTGTTCACGAAGAAAGTTTTTCCTTTATATAAATTAATGGGTTTTTTAATCAAAATTCGTCAAAATTCTTGAAAAAATTAAGTGATTAAACTTATAAATTACTTCTGTAAGGTGTAAGATTGTAAAGTATGTATATATAAACTTTTATAAAATCGTCTGGAGAGAGAGAGAGAGCAGTTATTATTGACTTTAAATTTGCAACTTTAAGAATTTCAAACAACCTCAATAGACTTGATATCTTGAATCTTCTTGGACAGAATAAGATTTATATTTCCTTCTTCAATAGCTTTTTTCAATATAAATGTGGCTTTTGAAAATTGACAAACAGATTCTGTTGAGTTGGAAGCACTTTAAAGAATTGAAACATCCTCTTCTGCATCCCTCTTCTGAATCAAAATTCTGCTCTTCCTCCTCTAAATCCTTTAAAATTTAACGTTACTCCATCTTGAAAATTTGCTTAAATATTAATTTTTTTAAAAAAATAAATAATATATATATATATTTAAAAAATTAATATATATATAATTATTTTTATTATCCAAGCATTTCTCGAAGTCAGTTTGAAAACATTTAATTCTATAGTGATGGATCTATTGGATCTATTATTAATTCTAATTAAATTTCCTCTACGTTGTAAACTCTTGTTAAAATAAGGCCAATGAACTGTGTTTCACATAATAATAAAGGTTATAAGCATTACAAATCGGCCATTTTAAAGAGAAATCAATTAAATTACTATGCTTGACGATGCAAGTTTGTAGAAATTCCTGATTAATATCTCAGCAATTTGTAAACAGTTAGTTTAAGTTTAAACTGTTATTTGACCCTTTGATAAGAATTAAATTCAGCCTACATGTTCAACTAAATTCAGCCCACATATGCTGTATATTCTGCTTAGAAATGGTTTAAATTCTGTTTAAAAATGCATAATTTAGAAAATTATATAATAATGTATGAAAATATAGTCAATTTAGGATTTTTATAGCTTATTTTTTAGCCTTATTTAAGATAAAAACGATAAAATATCGAGTTATATATCAATACTGTATATATAAAAAGTATATATGGAGTTTATTTACTTAAATGTCTTCATTATCTTAAGTATAAATGTATTCATTAAGTAAAATTAATTAAAGTTTTAATAATTTCAGCCCCACATTAATTAGCACACAAATTAAAATTGCTATATATTTTTACTTAAAGAGCTAAAAATTCAAGTCATAAATCATCATGAAAACTTTCCAATCAGTAAGTCGCGAGCGCCAGAAGGAATCAAAGGATATTCCATTTAAAATCGTAACAACGTACTGTACATGCCAAACACAGCTTAAAAATGATAAAAAAAGAGGCAAAAACACTAATTTAATCCATAAATTAAGCGCGCAATTCTCTATTATACAAAGTTATAAATTAAAAAAAAAAAATTGCATCCGAAGTGATAAGACGGAGCAGGACATCGATGCTTGATAAAAAGTAATGAATTATCGATTTGTTAAAAAAATATGATAGAATTTCATTAAAATACTTCCTTGGTGACGTCCACAGACTTGTTACAGAACAACTTAAATTGAGTACTAGGCATTACACATGACATAATGAGGCAGTGTTAGTCAGAAAGCAGAGTGTAGAAAAAAAAAACAGGACAGGAGAGATAAGCAGATCATCCCGTAACATTACTCACATCAAAAGAATCGATAATTTGTAGTATCTACAAGCTTCTATAGTTTCAATAGATGTACAACAAGCTTTATACATAGGCATACCCAAGCTAGAATTTTGTACATTCCTAACAAAGACTTAAGTTTACAGTACCTAGCAACCCAACCATGTAACTATCTAATGATGGGTCAATGATGCGAGAACGAGAAGCAAATTGCATGGTCCATTTTCGTCTTCATTTACGGTTAGTAAAACTCTAATCTCCTGAGTAACCGATGGTATCGCCTTTCATCCGATCTTTATTAGGCTTATTTCACTGGGGGTGATTACCTGTTGTTAGCATGGAGATGGCAATAAACTTTTGTGTATTGTGATACTTTGAAAATAATCTAGTGAAATAATTGCAGGTATAATGTCAAAATAAATAAGTATAGATGGAATTTTTAAATATTAAAATGAAATTTATTAAGTAACTATTTTATATATTCATTTACTTGCAATTTTACTTCTCTAATCAAGAGATTTCGGGATGTTTTGGAGGATTTTTTCCCTTCCTGTTTTATTTAATTTTGAATTATAAAAATTTATAAATATTTATAATTTAAATAAAATAAATGTTTAGGATACACGATACATAACGAAATAAGCACAGAATGCACTAATTAAAGTGTGAATGAATGCATTCGTTTGTTCACGCGTTTGCTTGTAATATGCAGTGGAAGATTGAACAGGAAGCAAAACAAACAACTGTTCGGGGCCCTAAGCTGAGAGGAGCACTATAAGGAACCCTATTTTATATACAAGCTGAGGAAGGACCCGTCAGGAAACTTCCCTTTATTATTATTATTATTATTTTAATTAATTTTGCAGAAATTGTCTTCTGATGATGATGTTGAGCAGTTTGTGGCTGAGAAGAGTAAGAATAAGTTGTAAAATAAATGATAAACTATGTAATAAACTGTATATTAATGATAAATGAATTAAATTTTTCCCTCTTCTGAGTTTCTTCTTTTACCTGCAAGGGAGCCCCGAAAAATTTAAATTGCTTGGGGCCCCTTCGAAGATAAACCTGCACTGATATGCCTCATTTACAGTTAATAACAAATATTAAATGTAATAAATAAGTTTAATTAATATAAATTAAATTTTATATNTCAAAATTTATCGATATTAAACAGAATAATACAGATATAGACATACGCGTTTGTAAAGTAGTCTTTTCAACATAACTACTTACACAGTGAAGGAAAAGCAGATTTACAGGGGAAAAATATAGATACGAAGATTTTTTTTATAAAACTTACCTGCGGCGGATAATAGCAATGGATTAGCATCTAAAGGTTTGCTTAGGAAGTGATGCGGAGGAGATTGACAAAGATAGGCAGCAACTGGAGATGTTGTGGATCCTAGTCCATACAGCTGATACGGTGCAAACGTTGTCAAGTGTGATCGAGGCAACGTCGTCGATACGCAAGGTCGAACACCGTCTACGGGTTGGTGAGATTTGGGTGTCAAGATGTCTTCTATCATGAAGGAAGATCTCCTTGTCGCTAGTTTTTCTCGATAACTGTCCATGCTACTCACTGTACAATCCATATATAAAATTTTACACATTAACTGTCACGAATTTATTCGATGAAACATTGAATACACTTGTAAATATTGTATAAACGGTTATATGGAAAACACGTGATTAAGGGAGAAAAACTTTACTTCATCGCAATTTGTATGACGAATTGTGATTAAAGATTGATGAGTTATATATAACAGAAAACTAGACACTCGCAAGTGGTGACAGATTAATGATGTGAGGCGTTACCTTCATTCCACTCCATATCCATCCTATGAACAATGGGGGATGCTCTATCGATCATTGAATTGTAGCTGTTAGGCTCTTACGAACATCTCTGATTGGATTACAAGGATACCAAATGGCAATTTCCGCTCCGCCCACTGCGTTACGTCATCGACTTATGTACCAATAGAGAATAAAAGGGTGGTACTAATAGAAATCACTCCGACATTTGTCAGTGAATAGGTTCCCTATTGAAATAGATAGGAGAATGTCAAATCTGAAAGTTTTCCTTTCATAATAATAACTTTGTATGGAAAAATCTCTCTTCCCCATGGAAATATTCTTGGTTTCTTTATGAAAAATATCAATTTCCTTATTATGTATACCGCAACATAATTTCAGGATAATTCTTTTGTAAATCCTGTAAACATGAGGATAATATTTCTAGGACTTATAAGACAATATATTTCTCTATAAATTTTATTTAAAAAAAAATATATAAAAAATACAGGAACAATATATATATGTATTTACTTATATATGCATCAAGATTTATAAGAAAAATCAAAATATATCTTTTATTATTTATACTATTTAATTTAAAAAAAAGAAATAAAAAGCATAAAGGATACAGCTTATAAAACCGTAATTTATATTTAAAATAACTAAATGATTAAATTTCATTTTAAAAGAGATAAATCTTATTTATATTAAAGATGATCCACAAAAGTCTTGATGCGAATGCTCTAGAATAAATTACTTCATAAATTATAGAAATAATTAAAATTTGTCTTTTAATATATTTTAATTTCTCGGGTTAAAATATAGAAGATGCAACTTATAAAACTATATTTAATTTTATAAAGGGTTATTTAATAATATATTTATATTAAAAAACAAACCAACTCTTATAAAATTTATATTACAGAAGAAATTTTAATATATTTTCTTAAAACTTTTATTTATTTAAGTAAAAATTCTTATTTATAAATATAGAAAACAGAAAGATTTAATGCTATTTTAATAAGAGTTAATGGTCTTTAATTTTAAAATAATGACGATAATAAGATATTTATAAATATTATATACATACACGT